TTTATTTTTATCACAATTGGAGGCGCTCCAATTATGGTTTTCCACATTAAATCATTGTGTCAATGCGTCTTTGATTGTTTGATTGAGATTATTATTTACTGGTTAAAATTGATATATAATCACAAATAAATATCTCAGGGTTTTAGATTTTTCAAGCTCGATAAACTCAATTTAAATTTTGCCAAAATAATTTCAAATGTTAGCATGTATAGAGCCTTACAGATTAAAAATTCGGTGAAAACTTCAAATTCATATGAAAATTTGTCAATGAATAGGACAAAATAAAGATGATATCTTAATGCTTCCACAAACTTAAATAAACTACTATAATTGCCTTAGTCAAAAAAATAAAATAAAAAACATAGTCATATATCTCAAATCCTAGTACAGAACTACTTGAAAGAAAGAATACAATTGCAAAGGCAAAGGCAAAAGTATAAATTGTCCTGCACTTGCTTCCACCTAACTAAGGTTCAGCAAAATAAAGTAACAAGAACACCAACACAAACAACTACCTTGAGGGTTTTTTAAAATACCAAAAAAAAGCAGCCAGAAGAATAAGCTATCCTACAACCATAGACATAGGCTCCAAACTCCACCTGCTTCCACCACATAACCAAAGAATCATAATAAGTTATACATTCAATTTTCTTAAATAGTCTAAGAGATTGTAAAAAAAGACCAAGAAATTTCACTGATTGAATTCACATTTAAGGAAGATGAGAACAAAGAATGGGTTTGAAAGAGAAGCATGGGAACAGAGTCAGCTAGGTTTGCTTTGCAGATTGTATGGTCTTGTTTGGTTTGTTTCTGAGAAATAAATTTTGGAGAATTTTTTTTAAAAATTTTGTCTGGTTTAGTGATTTCGGAAAAAAAAAATTTAAATTACTTTTTATCCCCTACACATTAATCAATCATTTTTTTTCTCTCATACACATCTATTCAACTATAATAAAATATTAAATCATCCAAAACTCCAAAACTATTTTTAAAATATATAACCAAACAAATCAAAAAAAATTCTCAACTTTTTTTCAAGAGTGAATTACACTAACGGTCCCTAGAATTTGAAGTTTGTGTCATTTTGGTCTATAACCTTTCAATTGTGACACATTTGACCCTAAATTTTGAATCTTGTTCAAAATAAGGACAATTGAAGATACTATTGGATTTTTCAAGGGCAAAATCATCAATTTGATAAAATATAAATTAATTTGAGAAAAATAAATGCCAAAAAATTATTTTGAATTTTTTAAAATTATTTTTAGCTACTAAAGATAAAATTACATAAAATTGATAAATCTTTTAGACATTTATTTATTTTTTTACCAAATTAATTTTTGTTATGTATATGGATGATAATCATGTAAAATTAATTTTTAAAAATTAATCATGTAATTTTTATTAATTTTTATCAATTTTACATAATTTTATTTTTTGGTGGGTAGAAATAATTTTCAAATATTTTTTTGACATTTATTTTTGTTAAATTAGTTTATATTTTATCAAATTGACAATTTTGCCCTTGAAATTAAGTAATGGTATGCTCAATTGTCCTTATTTGAAACAAGATTTAAAATTCAGGATTAAATGTGTCACAATTAAAAAGTCAGGAACTAAAGTGACACAAACCCCAAATTATAAGGACTATTAATATAATTTACCATTTTTTCAAATATTCTTTTAAAAATATTTATCCCCACAAACCAAACTAAACACACCACAATTGTGATATCTCATAGACAATTGTGACTTTTGAATTCTTCTACAATTTATGTGGACAACTTCTCTCCACGCAATCATCAAAGAACTTAGGATGGATATGAATTTACCAAACAATCCAACACCTGATAAAACAAAGTAGAGTCTTATAGAGAAAACTAAGGGGGCAAAATGGGGAATAAAAATGAGCGCCATGGTTTTCACGTGTCAATCTGATTTCTTCAGAAATCAATATGACATAAAGACTTAGCATGAAATTACAAAATGATCCAAAATGACACAGTAAGTAAACAACAAAATATGAGAGCAAAATGGGCCACGTAAAAAAAAATAATAATAATAAAAAAAAGCCCTCAATTGTAACAAGTACAACTCCCTTTTATATATAAGGGTATGTAGACATACTAAAATAGTTATACAAGGTATATATACTAAAATAGTTAATAAATATAATATAAATTAAAATAGTTAATAAGATAAAATATCACATTTGAATTATAATTATTTTATTTTTTCTCTTACAACTATCAAATCAATTACAAAAAAAAATAAAACTAAAAAAAGGGTAAATTACAAACACACCCCTAAGGTTTACTTAAATTACAAATTATCCTATGTGATTCTAAAAATTACATTATGCCCCCTAAAGTTTCTAATTTCATAACAAACAGGCCATTTTATTAATAAATCATCAAGTGAATTAACAGTTTTTAATAATATTAAAATTTTATTTCAATTAATAATTCAGATAATTTTATTATTATATTTTATTACTCAATTCCACATTCAATTCAAAACTTAATTCAACAATCTATTCAAAAACTATAACCAAATAAATTTTCTACATTCAAATCATAATTTCACAACTCACAAACTCAAAATACAATTCATACTCTCAAATCATACTTACAAAATTCTACCAAACGTATCCTAATTTCTTTTACCAACTTCACAAAAACATCATTTATGTCATATTTTGGTGAGTTGGAATCCCGTTCCATTAAAAATGTGACACATCTACTCAATCATTAATTTCTCCCACCCTCCATTATCACTGAAATTTTCTGTCTAGAGTAATACCCCACTCCATCACTTTCTTTGCCTCCTCGCCCCTTTTAGAAATTATACTAACCGCTTTGTCTATTAACAGATCTAAAGATAAATTTGAACGGACTTTAATAACCTCAATGAGGGTATGAATTTACCATAAAGCATTATATTCTTCTTCCCCTCTTGATTTTTTTTTTCCCTCACTTTGCCTTTTCTCTCTCATCTCATCATACATCCTCACCATGGCCACCTCTTTCCTTTCACAGATCCATCATAACTAGACCATACAAAACTCCATCACTACTGCCAATCAAAAAAGCAACCATTAAAATATGCCCGCTCACATCTTTAAGAAAAGAGGGAAAGATTTTTAAAACGCACATCATTTTTTCAGAAGTTGACTATCAAAAATCATAGGAAGAATTAGATGCAGGTAGATGGAAAAAATATATATATATATATACCAACACATGAAATGATGCAAGTGATATTTACACCACATAGTCTTTTATTTACACTTCACCACAGACACTTACGCTCCATGTCTTTGTAATTTTTTTTCTCTTTCTCCTACAATTTCCCAAAATCATAACACCGACTACTGAAAAAAATTCTTGCTTGATGTTTGCATTTATAACAAAGTCAGAACCTTTAGTTCTTCCAAACATGTAGTTCCATGTATAATTGATGACCACCAATTAATTATCTTAAATATTACAGCTAAATGGCAATTGATTGGGAGTTGTGTTCTTTTCAGAATTTAAAAATATTTAACAAATCTCAAATTTCAATCTCTTAAAAAGCCATAATTCCCATTTGTCAGCATCCATCACCCAACCAGTTGGGAATTTCATCAAACAGCTGGAACTCAACAATATCAGTACGGAAAAGAGAGGGTCTGTCCAGGAAAGGAAAAGGGAAAAGGGAAAAGGGGAAAGGGGAGAAATAAGAAAAAAGTATAAATGGAAATAAAGTTTCCACACATGGAACTCCATATTGAAACCCCTCCCATTAGTGCATCTATTTTCCTTACCTAGACCTCCACTTGCAACACCACAGCCAAATACCCAGACTTTCTTGAAAATTTCAACAATCTATGATGCAAAGAATCTATGGTGGGGTGGGCAGAGGTGGACGATGATGACAGTAGAGCAGATATGAGTGAGGTTGAGGATGCATTGATGCTGGAGTAAAGTGATGAAGTGATGAATGAAGGAATGAGTGGTGATTAGCGGTGTAGTCATGGTTAGATGGAGGAGAAAGTTGAGGAGAGTTGGATCAATTTGCAGAAAGTTGGGGTTGGACCCATTTTCACAGAGTTTGGAAAGACAGAGATGGGAAAGACGGAAAAATTGGTTTGATAATCTCAAGGGCGTAATTGGGATTACAAAAAATATTGTTGTTGACGTCATTTTAGTCTGTTAAGTTAACTAACGGTAGATTAAGCGAAGGAGTAATATGTAATGCAATTGTTTACTCAGGGAGCAGAATGTAATTTCAAAAACTGAGGAAGAAATATGTATCAAGACAAACTTGAAGAAGTGTCATTGTAATTTACCCTTAAAATTATAGCCACATACATTTTTTTTTTTGTCATTTATCCTGTTCATTTTCATTGTCGGTATGCGACATGATATGCTCGCGTTATTTGGGAAGCTAATTATTTTAATTAGTTATTTAATTTTTTTAAATTATTTTAGTCTAATTAAAAAAATTATGTACCTTTTAAATTTTTTTTATCATTTATTCTGTTCATTTCTATTGTTGGTATGTGATATGATATGCTCGCATTATTTGGGAAGCTAATTATTTTAATTGGTTATTTAGTTTTTTTTAGTTATATTAATCTGGTTAAAAAAATTAAAATTATATTTAAAAAGTTAATTTTTTTAATAGTTGATTTGATAGTTATAAGAGAAAAATAAAATAATTATAAATTGAATGTGACATTCTGTCTTATTAATTGTTTTAACTTTTTTTTTTTTTTTTTGGGGGGCTTTTTAAAAAAAAAAAAAAACAAAAAAGCAAATGTGTGGTTGTAGATTTAGAGGTAGTTTAGAAACAATTTTTTCTAAGTAATTCTTTGATTTTTTTATTAAAAATATAAACTCTACATTCATATGAGATATTTAGTCATTTATTTGATAAAAAATTTAATATATCTAACATTATCCATTGTTTATCACCACTCCACCTAGCCTATATAATAAGGTGTTGAACACAGTGGAAAATACACAGTTTCTCTCCTATTTTTCTCTCTTTCTCTATCTTCTTCTTTGCCATATATTTATCACTAACGATAAGTAATAATGGCTGATAATAAGGTGGTCCTGTTGGATGCCTTGCCTAGTTTGTTTGGGATGAGGGTGAGAATATCACTGGCTGAGAAGGGCATTAAATATGAATACAAGGAACAGGACTTGAGGAACAAGAGCTCACTGCTTCTTGAGATGAACCCGGTTCACAAGAAAATCCCGATTTTGATTCACAATGGAAAACCGGTTTGTGAGTCCCTCATCATCGTCGAGTACATCAATGAGGTCTGGAATGAGACAGCTCCATTGTTGCCCTCTGATCCTTACCAGAAAGCTCAAGCTAGGTTCTGGGCTGACTATGTTGACAAAAAGGTGACTTGTTTTGCGGTGTTATTGTTTAATGTTTTTTTACTTTTTGAATTTGGTGCTGTTTCATAAAAATAAAAATAAAAATAGAAATAAAATATTTTAGTTAAAAAAAAAAGGTGATTGCCAGTTAGATACCGTGGCTGAAATAACAATGATAGGGACCCCACAAAATACAACACCCACAACTCAAAATGATCTGAATTATTCATGTCACTATCAGACACAATTCTTAAAAAATATTTAAATATATCAATGGTCAATATATCAGTAGGGGTCATGAGGGTCCTTTTTTGTGGGGGTTCCAAACATTTTCCGTGGCTGAAATTAGCCTCTTTTGGCAAAGAGGTTAAAAGTTTTTTTTGTAGTTTTATGGTTTTTTTTGTTTATTTTAAATTTATATCATTTCTTTATTTTTTCACACAATTTTTTTAGAAAAAAATCAAAAAAAAGTCAAAAAATTAAATTTTAACCTACTTCTAGATGGCAGATAGTTGGTGGTGGTTAGATGTGATTGTTGATCTGGAAGTGGTGACCAAAGGAGGTTGACAATAGTGGTGGTACGAGGAGGTTTTTGATAACGATGGCTGACGGTGATGGGTGGCTGGTGGTAAGTGATGGAGGGAGGAAAAGAAAGAAGAAGGAATGAAAATTTGTATTTGAAACAAATAAAAATAATTTTTTTTGTTACAATAGTTTAGTAAATTTTATAAATTTTTTGTAACAAAAAATTCACTTAAATAAATTTTTCCTGTAATTTTAAATTTTGTTTTATAAATATAAAAAGATTACAAATGTAAATGTTACTCAATGGCCTCTGGTATTATGTTGATATAAATTTGGAATAATTAGTGAAATTTTGAAAAAATAATTATATATTGATAAAAAAATTATAATTATAATTATTAATATTTATAATTTTTTTTTCTGATTTATAATTATTTTTTCAAAACTCTAACTTTCAATATAAATTTCTCCTGAGTCAAATCTATATATTGTTGGGATTTAGACCTGAATCTCTGGTTTGAGTTTTTATTTTATATTTTTTTATGTATATTTATTTTTTCTCGTGAATAGCTTGGTTGCTTGAAAATAAAATCAAAGCTCACCGTCTCTATAAATTTTGATTTTTAGTTTTTTTTATAATATTTTAATTTTTTTTACATATACAAACTAAATAAATAAATTGTAATATTATATTTAAAATTTTATATTTTAATTTTTTGAGCATTATAAACTAAGGATATCTTTGATTAATAAATTGTAGTATTATATTTAAAATTTTATATTTTAATTTTTTGAGCATTACAAACTGAGGACATCTTTGATTAGTAGAATTATAGCATATGATTGAAATTATTAATTCATAAACTCACAATCCCATGTTTGATTGTAAATTTTATTAACCAGATTACATGTACAGCGAAATTCAATATGACAAAATTGGTGAGTTTTTTTATATTGTGAGGGACTGTGATCATAATTTCAAATATATATAAAAAAATGAATTCAAAATAAATGATTATCTCACTAATTTAATTGGATAACTAAGCATACACTAATTCATAAAATTATCAATCTTTCAATGTTAATCCTGTTAATCAAGGCGAAGTGACTAATAATAGAGGTTTCGTAATAAATATTAGGCAGAGAGATATTTGATGTGGATTTTCACGAGTGCCGTTTCAATAAGTTAAACCGTTTATTTTGTTTAACACTTCGTGTATTTCATTCCCCCCCCCCAAAAAAAAAAATTTGAGTTGATATGGTAATCGTAACTTATTCAATTTATTACATTTGTTACAAAACAAGAAAAGAAAAGAAAGATAACAATTATATTTTTAAAAATAAATCATTTATTTTTTGATGACAAACGCGATAAATTAAATATGTTACGATTATCGAATCAATCTAATTTTGTCTTGTTGAAATATACGAAATGCTCAACTTAATGAACAGTTTGAATCATTAAAACCAGAAAATAGCAACATTTACCATTTTTCTTGGTTTATTCCCAATCAAACGCAATCAAACAAACACAATCTATCCGTAATTGAATGGTGTCACATTAATACACTAAAATAGGGGTCCAACCTAATTAAACCTATTACAAAATATCTTAGATGCTACAATTATTAACAGATGAAATGCAGGTGTATGTTATGGGGAGGAAGATACTAGATTCAAATGTAGACGAAGAGAAAGAGGAAGGCAAAAAAGGATTCATAGAATGTCTCAAGGTATTAGAGGGAGAGCTTGGTGATAAGCCATACTTTGGAGGTGAAACCTTTGGCTTTGTAGACATTGCTCTTGTCACCTTATACTGCTGGTCCTATGAGACCCTTGGCAACTTCAGTCTAGAGGTATTGTGCCCCAAGCTATTTTCATGGGGCAAGAGGTGCATTGAGAAAAATGAAAGTGTTTCCAAGACTCTTCCTCACCAACACAAGATCTATGACTTTGTTTTGGGTTTGAACAAGAAGCCAAAAGCAAGAACATGAGCTTGTTAATATTATCATATCGGTAAAACAAAATAAGTTGGATCTAGGACCCCCAGTTTGTTTCAAGGCACTTTTCTATTACAATGGATATCTTTGGTTTGACCTCATATGGTGGAGAGGGGTCTTAGAATAAGGTACTGTGAGATTCGAATAGAAAATTTCCAACTTTCTTATGGTTATACTGCGTGTAATTCTTCTCTTTCTTTTCTTTTTTTTTTCTATGGTTGTTTGTGTTTGTGTTTGTTGTCTCTTTAATTGTAATAAAGAAACACTTCCTTGTGTTTGTGGCATGTTAGGGACAAATATGACCCAAAAAAAGGGCTTGTATGTTGGAAATGCTATTGTCTTGTTTTTGTCCTAATGAATTTTCCAATTGCAAAATGTGGTGTGAATTTCAAGACACGAATGTGTGATTGAGAGTTTATTGAGAAGGTTTGAGAAAGAGATTTAAGTATAGAAATCTTTGACTTTTCAATTAGTACTCAACTCAAAATGACAGATTATATAAAGAGTTTGGCTCTTCAATATGATTTAGGATTTAGAATTTGGGATTTGAAAATTTAGGATTTAGGATTTAGGATTTAAGATGGTAGATTATAGAGTGGTTGGCAATTTAATTGTTTGTACAATCAACATTTTATGCCTCTTGAGAGGGTAATTTATGTGAAAATTGGGCCGAGCTGGGTAATGGGCCGTTATGAGCCAAAGTACAAAGGGCCGAGTAAAAGGGCCACGTAAGTCACTCCGGTCGTATGAATATTCCGAAGTTAGTCCGGTCATAAGACTGCGAAGCTAGTCCGGTCCGACGTAAGAATGAAGTTAGATCGGTCTAACAGTACCTTTGAGTTAGACCGGTCTTGGAGTTATATCGGTCACGACTTGTTAGTTCGGTCTAACCACGCCATGTGTTGTGCATGAGAAGCCGACATAAGAGAAGTAAAAGGAAGAACTAGTTCGGCTTATTCTACGGCTATGCATAGTCGTGTTTACTTCGGTCGTATTGGAGTTCGGCCATGATAGAACCATCTCACTTGGTTTAAGCAGTGAGAGGGGTGTTGAAGGATAAGCATTATCTTTCAGGAGTATGAATCCTAGGAGGACTCTGCATGGAGGAGTAGAAGTCCTACTAGGATTGTGCCACACAAAACCTATAAAAGCTCACAAGCATCACCTTTGGAGAGGTAACACACAACTTTGCTTTTTGAATACACGGAGCTTTTGTCTATTTGTCAAGGTTACTGACTTAGGCATCGGAGAGGTTTCCGGCACACACTCGCCGGCTAGCTCACGTTTGTGTTTTCAGGTGATAAAGCGACGACGTACAGAGGAGCGCAGACTTGATCAACAGGATTATACGAGAAAGTTTATTTCTTTCCCGTACAATTGGCGCCGTCTATGGGAAAATCAGATAGAACAAAACCTCTTGATCAAGCTTTACCTCTTTAGGAACAATGGCACACATTGAAGAATTACCGCAGTCCGCCATCGACGGGCAAACACCAGACAGGGGCAAGGCGTGAAGGGCTACCTTCTATCCCTCCCATGACAGATTTGGAGTCCCAACGACATAACACCAGGAGGGATACTAGGGGGAGGCGGACTAACAGCCCCCGTCACTCTCGTTTGTAAAGTCCTGACAGGCAAAGATGGAGGATTGATCCTCAAGCTCTGGAAGACCGCGTGAAGGAGCAAGATGAATTAATAAGGAAGATGGTAACGGACATGGAGGCCTTGAAGCGCCAGATGAAGAAAAAAGAAGTGGCGACAGGAGAGGGGTGCAAAAACAAGACGCCCCCTCGCCACTCAGAAAATCGTAGTAGGAATACCACACCCTCGCAAGGAGAGAGCAGAAGCCTCAGGACAGGCGATACTCAATCCTGGTCTTCCAGAACTCCTCACTCCAGGTCTAAGAGGACGAGATCTGAAAAATCTTACATTGAAGGAAGCACGTATTGGCCCTCACATTCGCACCAAACCAGATCTAGACAGACAGAGTTACCCAGATCATCCGACTTACGAACCGTGCTCGAAGAAAAGGCACGATACAAGGAGGATGCCAGGGCACGGGATCCACACAGAGTTTCTGCCTTACAGCGGTTGGCTTCTCGGACGCATGGAAGCGTCGAGGTTGGAATGCCAATACCGCGCCTTGCCTACGAACCAACGGACAAAGCATTAGCAAGGCTGCAGACTTCGCCGTTTGTTCCGGCGATTGAAAACGCGCCCCTACCATCAGGCTTCCTTCAGCCCAAATTCACTACATATGAAGGGAAGACGGACCCCTACTCACACTTGAGCCACTTCCGCCAGGTCATGGCTGTATACAGGCGAAACGAGGCCTTAATGTGCATACTCTTCCCATCTAGCCTTGGCGACCTAGGCTTGACTTGGTTCGAGAAACTTCCAGAAGGCAGCATAGCCTCTTGGGCGCAATTGGCAGAGGCGTTCGTAACAAGGTTCCGAACAAACACTAAAACCCCGGTGGAAATCGACCAGCTACTCTCCATCGACATGGGCGATTAAGAGACCCTTAGATCCTACAATAGTCGCTACTAGGAGACATTCAATCAGATTGGGGACTGCCCCATCAATCTCGCCATTGCACAGTATAAAAGAGGCCTTCCAGTCAGGAATAGACTAAGGGACTCGATCACCATGACGCCACCCCTCACCATGGAAGCCCTGATGGAAAGAACAAAGGTTTAATACGGTAGATCAACCGAACAGAAACGGACTGCGCATGACGAAAATAACGGATGAAGACACCGGAAAAAGATGGTTGATCCGCACTGCCATAACCACGGTGTTCAAGAAACCGATATATCGGATTCTGAGCGAAATAAGAGATGAGCCTTTCGTCAAGTGGCTAGCCATGCTGGGAGAAGCACAGAAAGACAACGACGAAAGATCACGGTGCACCTTCTATAAAGAAAAAGGGGCGCCACACTGAGAATTGCACACCATTGAGATAGCACCTAGAGGAGTTGGTGGCGGCAGGTCACTTGGATAAATACATTGAAGGAGGGACGCAACCAGCCCCCCAGGACCATAATAACCCCAATGGGATGCCAATCGACGCCCCGGCTCAAGGCATTATCAATGTGATACATGGAGTTTTTGAACCTGAGCGTGTATGCGAGCTCAAGGGATCAATCAAAAAGGCTGAGCACTTTAGAGAGGTGCTAAGTGCCCAACCTGCCATCAAGAAGGGGAAGACAGAGGCAACAAACGTCATGTCCTTTTCGGATAAAGACTTAGAACGAATATACTGCTCTCACAATGATGCCCTAGTCGTCACTCTCCAAGTCAAGGATTTTGACGTCAAGCGGATTCTAATTGACCAGGGTAGTTCGTGTGAAATCATGTACTACGAAACATTTAAAAAATTGAAGCTGCAAGACAAAGACTTGGCGCCTGCCGTATCTCCCCTAATTGGATTCAACTCCATGCCAGAATGGCCCGTCGAAAAAATAATTCTTCCAGTCAGAGCAGGAAGCGTGACGAAACAAGTGGAGTTCTGGGTATTGAAGGTCCCCTCCACTTACAACATCATCTTGGGCAGAACATGGCTGCATGCCATGCGATCAGTGGCGTCATCCTACCACCAAGTAATGCGGTTCCCTAACGATACCGGGGTAATTGAAGAAGTCTATGGAGATCAGGTCATGTCAAAGCAATGCTTCACCACGGTGAACGGCAGCCGCGCTGCCAAAGGATACGTTCATTCGGTGGAAGAACCTGAGAGCAATGAGCTATTCGCAGATGTCGGCAAAGTGGCTGATCAGAAAGCAGTGGAGGACTTGGTAGAGGTAAGAATAGATGAAAAGAACCTGGATAAGTTCTTTTTGCTCGGTTCGTCGTTGTCCAGCACTGAGAGATTAGAGGTCTTAGAATTCTTAACCTCTAACATCGAAGTGTTCGCCTGGACGCCCTACGACATGCCAGGCATCAATCCAAACTTCATCTGTCACCAACTTAATGTCCACCCATCCGCCAGACCAATCATTCAACGCACACGCAGATCGGCACTCCACCACGCCGAGATAGTGGCGGAAGAAGTAGGTAACCTGCTGGAGGCAGGAGCAATTAGAGAAGTGCACTACCCAAGATGGATCTCCAACACAGTCGTGGTGCCAAAGAAGAATGGCAAATGGCGTGTCTGCGTCGACTATAAAACAGTCAACAAGGCGTGCCCAAAAGACAGCTTTCCTCTACCACGGATAGATCAACTGGTAGACCTAACAGCGGGGCACAACCGACTTAGCTTTCTGGATGCATACAGAGGCTACCACCAAATCGCCATGCACGAACCAGACCAGGAGGTCACATCCTTTACAACTCCAAGAGGATTGTACTGTTATAAGGTCATGCCCTTTGGCCTAAAGAACGCTGGGGCAACATTCCAACGGATGGTCACCAAGATGTTTGAACCATTGTTAGGCAGAACAATGGAGGCCTACATCGACGACATGGTGGTCAAGAGCAAGAATGAGAATGACCATCTCAAGGACCTGGGCGAGATGTTTGAGATCCTGAAGAAGCACAAGCTGCGCCTCAATGCATCCAAATGTGCATTCGGAGTAGGGTCCGGCAAATTCCTTGGCTTCCTTGTGACCAACCAGGGTATAGAAGCAGACCCCTCCCAGATCAAAGCAATCCAGGATTTAGAGAGACCAAACTCAGTAAAAGAAGTGCAGCATCTCACCGGCATGGCAGCTGCGCTCAATCGGTTCATAAGCCGGTCATCAGACAGACTACGGCCATTCTTCCATGCACGAAAAGCCAGGTTCGAATGGGACAAAGAATGCGACCAAGCTCTGGAAATCCTGAAAGAATACATGTCTTCTCCATCATTACTGGTCACCCCAGTACCTGGAGAAAAACTCTTCTTGTACCTGGCAGTCTCTCAGCACGCAATTGGCGCAGTGTTGGTTCATGCAGAAGGAATCCAGCATCTGCCCATCTATTATGTCAGAATGACATTGCTAGGGGCCGAAACAAGGCATTTGCCACTGAAAAAGTTAGCATTGGCCTTGATGATGGCCTCCAGGAAATTGGCACACTATTTTCACGCCCACACCATAGTTGTCCTCACAGCTTTTCTACTAAAAGCTTTGTTTGAGAGGGCAAATTTTTCTGGGCAAATCTTGAAGTGGGCAGTAGAGTTGGGACAATTCGACATCAAGTTCCAACCCAGAACCGCAGTAAAGGCCCAATCTTTGGCAGACTTCGTCGCAGAGTTTACTCTTGGAAGTCATCATATTTGCCCAGTCGACCTAACTAACACAACCGAACTAGGGATGGAAGTTGACGCCGGAATAGTGCAACCCCTAGTA